GAATTTGATGTGGTTGAGATTATTAAATTATTTGTAGATTTTCAAAGTAATACTTATTAATTTGATTTGATATGGTTGTGTTGAATATTGATTATGAGTATTTGGAAGTATTTTGAGATGAATATTTGGGCTTTACATATGATTTATGTTTTGGAATATAATTACGAGGATTTTGGTGGTTTATGTACATTGACATTTTAGAATTAGTATGATTTGGAAATTTGTACCTATATTTGGAATATTATTATTTTACATGTGATTTTGTGATGAGAATTTATATAAAGTGTTTCAAAAGGTTTCCTCCCAAATGTTTTCACAAAATGATATATATGTATCAAACATGATTATTTTACAGGGTTGGGTGGGCCTTACTTAGCATTTCCAGCTAATTTTTGTGTCTTTGTGTTTTTCTTTCTGTACTTTATTTGTGCAGGAATTGAGGATCATATTGAAGTTGATTTCGAGAGCTTCCGCTAGAACACATAGACTAAAGTGATTGAGTAATTTATTTTAGTCTTAATTTTAAAGAATTGTAGTTGGACAATTGAATATGAAAAATTTTAATTTGTTGGTGGTGGATAGCCTGTGCACCCGGTTATGTGAGAGCCGAGTGTGGCGGTAACGCCCCTGTTTCCCTTTGAATTTTCCGCTGCAAGACTCTGATGTTTTCGAATAAATCATTATTTACTTTGAATAAATCATTATTCAAATATATTTTTGGGTGGGAAATTTGGGGGTGTTACACGGTCCCAAACAGGTCCACTAGCTCAGAAAGGTTTTACAATCAAGATGGTTGCAAAGCAATTAAACACAGATCAGACACTACAAACAATCAATAGACAAACGACTCATAACGATTAAAACAAAAGAAAGTTCAGAGTTAACCGAATCGAATCCAGATAGGAATTCGAAGGCAGAAGAAGACTCCCGGATGAACGAGAAGACAACTCCGATGGACAGGCTTCCTCCTTTCTCTCAATCGTCACAAGAAGATGGCTTTAATCGCAGTAGATTACAGATCTAACAGACTCTATCTCGAACGTCTCTCTCTAGGTTATCAGGGTATGCAGCGGGATCATACAGTGGAGAGGATGAAGGATGCATATATATCCTTCCAATTCAGGCAGATGAGCTAACCAAAATACCGGACCCTAATAATAGGCCCAATACAAGAGGCTCAACCGAACAGGCCTTAATAACAAATAACCCAAACAACCCTTACAAGAGATAACCCAAGAAGAAATAAAGCCAAGTCTAATTGCTTTGCCATCCTACCTTAATTGTAATAACAAGAACATATGAGAGAATTAGGATTAAATAATATCCCAACAACATCAACTAGATGTAAGTAATGCCTTTTTACATGGAGATTTAAATGAAAATATCTATATGCAACCTCCCCCTGGATACTTAGCTGATAATGACCATAGAGTCTGTAAACTTCTCAAAAGTCTATATGGTTTAAAACAAGCTTCTAGGCAGTGGTATTTTAAACTTTCTGAATCTTTGAAATCTTTTGGTTATAAACAATCTCAAGCAGATTTTTCTCTTTTTACTAAAGCTACTGATGTTTCTTTTACTGTGATTTTACTTTATGTTGATGATCTTATTCTTGCAGGTAATGATATGAATGAAATAAATTCTGTTCAAACTTTCTTACATCATAAGTTTACAATCAAAGATCTTGGTGAACTAAAATACATATTAGGAATAGAAGTTGCTAGATCTGAAACTGGACTTGTTTTAAATCAAAGAAAATACACTCTTGATATTCTTTCTGACTTTGGATATCTTGATTCTAAACCTTCTTCTACTCCTATGGACTCTAAACATAAACTTTCAAAAAATGAAGGCACTCTTTTAACTAATCCTAAAACTTATAGAACTCTAATAGGTAGATTACTTTATCTTACTGTCACAAGGCCTGATATTGCTTATTCTGTACAAACTCTTAGTCAATTTCTTTCCTGTCCTACTAATATCCATATGACAGCTGCTCATAGGGTATTACGATATCTCAAAAACTCACCAGGAAAAAGGTCTGTTCTATCCTTCTACATCTAATTTTGATATTCAGGCATACACTGATTCTGATTGGGGATCTTGTGTTGATACAAGAAGAAGCATTTCTGGTTATTGTTTTTATTTAGGAAAATCATTGATTTCATGGAAATCTAAGAAACAGTCTGTTGTCAGTAGATCATCTACTGAAGCAGAGTATAGGGCTGCTGCAAATGCACTTTGTGAGGCTCAATGGCTTATTTACATTGTTCAAGATTTACATATTCCTACTTCTTTACCAATTACCTTTTACACTGATAATAAATCTACCTATTATCTTGCACATAATCCTATTCAACATCAAAGAACTAAACACATTGAATTAGATTGTCATTTAATAAGAGAGAAAATTAATTCTTGACTCATTAATCTTACACATATTCCTAATAGTTGTCAACTTGCAGATATATACACCAAACCACTTGGGAATCCTCTCTTTAGTCACTTTGCAAACAAGATGAACCTGTTGGACATCCATGCTCATCTTGAGGGGGCGTCTAAAGAATAATAGGCTGGACCAGATTTTATATTATTGGGCTTGTTATATTAGTCCATCTCCTTTTATTATAGAATAGCCTGTTTTAGCCCTTTTGTATAAATACTGAATTACAACCCTATTCAACACAAGGGTTTCATATTATTCATCTTCTTCATTTGATTACTGCTTCCGCTTTCTCTTCATCGATCATACTTTGCAATTCTACAGGATTTATAACAAAACACCACTATTACCCATGTTTTTGTTTTTTATTTGATTTGACATAATGACAAACTCTCTATACTCCTTTCATATATTTATATGTTCTCTACAATACCTTTTGACACAATATTTTAAAAAAAAATAGTAGAAGTAATGAGTAGTGAAGAAAAATTAGGAGAGAAATGGAAAAGTAGGAAATAGAAGATAAAAGTAAAAAAAGTAAGGATAATGGAGTATTTTTTTTTAAAAAATTACCAAATAAGTAAAGTGTAACAAACTTTTAAATACGTCCGAAATAAGAAAATGTAGCAATCTTTCAAAAAAAAAGAGGGAGTATTAAAAGCCATATTGAAAGTCATACCACATGTTTTCCATACGTAAATGTGTGTTTAGGTGTAATTAGAAACTTGTCTATCAGACGAGGAGACTATGGATGTTTTTACTTGGACTGTAATTTGTCCCAGACCAGACCAGACCAGTCCAGACCAGACCAGACCAGTTCAGACCAGACCAGACCAGACCAGACTTGGATAGTTATAAAATACAAAGAAACCAGACCTTACCAGACCAGACCAGACCAGTTCAGACCAGACCAGACCAGATCAGATCAGACCAGACCAGCAAATTACAGTCCAAGTAAAAACATCCTATATAATCTTAATAAGTACTCCGTAATACAATGGATTAATGACAAAAGTCATAAGTTCAATGTGAAATTTAAATTATTATTATTGTAACCAAAAAAGGAAAGGAACGTATAGATGTGTGTGTGATTCGTACTCCAATACAAGATTAGAAACAAAAGAAAAGAAATATACCTTCCTTATAGCAAAGTACCAAACACGGCATAATAGTCTAAGGGAAATTTAAAAAAAAAAAATACCTCGTAGCCATCCCACGTCAAGACAAAGTGATTCTTCTTCTCTTCCTCCAAGCAGCCAGTCTTGTAGAACCTCGAAGATAACCCACCAACCAACCCCTCTAGATATCCTTCCTTTTTATTCTTGCAAAAGATTGAATCCTCTTTTCCCCTTTTTCGCTTTTAAACCCATGAATCAATGAATGAATGTGATGTAAAAGGGTTCATTCCATTAATATGACGAAGCATTTCAGTTGCAGCAATTCTCCATTTCAGTCCATTCTCTTCCTCGTCTTCTTGCTGACAGCGTTTCTAGTTCCTGCATCTCTAGCCCTCAATTCGGATGGTCTCTCGCTCTTAGCTCTGAAATCCGCCATTACAGCTGACCCAACTCAGCTCCTCGCCACCTGGTACGAGCTGGACTCGACCCCTTGCCGCTGGGCTGGAATCACATGTGACCCCAACACCCAAAGGGTCGCCTCCATTTCCTTACCCAACGCCGGCCTCGCCGGCTACATCCCGTCGGAGCTCGGAGCTCTCTCTTCCCTCTCATTTCTTTCTCTCGCTTTCAACAACTTCTCCAACCCTATTCCCTCCCACCTCTTCAATGCCTCATCTCTGCTCTACCTCGACCTCTCCCACAACTCCTTCTCTGGACCCTTGCCGCACCAGATCACTAGCCTCAGTAAAATCCGTCACCTCGACCTCTCTTCCAATCTCCTCAATGGGTCTCTCCCGGAGGAGCTCTACACCCTTCCCAACCTCGCCGGAACTTTGAATCTCTCGTATAACAGGTTTTCCGGAGAAATCCCGGCGACGTACGGGCTGTTCCCGGTTGTTCTGAGCCTGGACCTCCGGCACAACAACCTTACGGGGAAGGTACCTCCGGCAGGGTCACTGTTGAACCAGGGGCCCACCGCGTTTTCCGGGAACCCCTACCTTTGCGGATTCCCATTGGAGATTCCATGTCCGGAACAGGCAGCGGGAAACCCTAGCGGCTGGACTGAACCGGCAAATCCCCGAAGCCCTGCTGATTTCGCAAATGAGCGTGTCGATAGAGGTAGAGCAAGGTATGGGTTGGTGACCGGTTCTCTGATTTCCGTCTTCTTGGCAGTGGTCGGAGTAGCGTTGGTCAGCTTGTGGGTGTACCGAAAGAAACAGAATTGGACGGAGGGAAAAATCGGGAAAGAGACATTGGGCATGCCAGAGAAGTGCAGGAAGGAAGACAGTCAAAAGGGGAAGTTTGTGGCGTTAGACGAAGGGTTCTGGTTGGAATTAGATGATTTGCTAAAGGCATCAGCGTTTCAAGTAGGGAATGGTAGGAGCGGGATAGTGTACAAGGTGGTGTCAGGCGGCCGTGGGAAGGGGTCGATGGTGGTGGGCAGTGGCGGTGACACTGTGGTGGCGGTGAGGCGGTTAAGTGAAGGAGATGCGGTGTGGCGGATCAAGGAGTTCGAATCGGAGGTCGAGGCCATTGGAAGAGTCCAACATCCCAACATCGTTAGATTGAGAGCCTATTACTATGGCAGTAATGAGAAGCTTCTAGTTACAGATTTCATCAGCAATGGGAGTTTGCATAATGCTTTACATGGTAAACAATCAATTCTCTTCTGTTTGGTTCTTAGGCAATGTTTGGTAAGGAGTCATAGAACATCATGTAATCAAATTCATGTCTGGTTTAAATTTACACTAAAATTTATGCATCCAAATACCGTATGGAACACAAAGTTGGAATAGAGAAGTATGGAACAAAGTATAGACAGTTTTAGTTTTGTATTTCTTATCTAAGACTTATAAATATAGATTCAAAGAATACTTAAACGAAAATCAACCATCCCTTCACCTTCTCTTCAAAATCCCCAAACCAAACCAAGTCTTTAAGATAAGGGATGCAGATGTTTCCATATTAAATAATTGGTACCAACCAAAATGAAGAGTGTTTGGGTACAACCATAGTGATGACTTCTCAGGCTGCTGCTGCTACTTATATCACCATAAATACATAAAACCACTCTGAAGAAGGTATAGTACATAAAAATGATATGTGGGTAGGTAGGTAAGTAGGCTACATTTTCAGATATTGGCATTGATGCGGGGGTGGGGGGTAAAAAGGGATGCTTGACCAAAGTATGTTGCCTATTTTAATAATTTGGAGATGACTGACTGGTGAGAATTATGCAGTTCTATAAATGCTTATATATTGTAAAAATTGATTGCAATATAGTTGGAAAACTACTACTGTTTTGTTCAAGGCATTTGTCATAGCTTTTACTTGTTCAGTTCCTGCTTCATTTGTCTAATTCTCTTTATCATCCGGAGTTCCCCTTTAATTGATGCTTTGGCTTAATGCTTGGATTGTTGGATTGGTGATAAAAGAACTAGTGAAAAGGTTCTTTTTTTTAGCGAAAGGATGGGTAAAAATGAATTCCCAATGTGTGCGCATATATTAGTCATTATCTCAATGAATTATTTTTAAAATTACTATATTTTTAGTGTGCTTTAGATAAATTATCAAATCCGTTCATTTCAACCAATTTTTACCCCATGATACAGGTTTTTAATTCCATTAAGCCTCTTCCGAAGTTGGTTTTTGTCTACAATCTCATATCAAACCCATTATATAACTTCTTGGGGTACTTCTATTAAAATGGAACACAAAATCTTTATTGGTTTGAAGAATAGTCTTATTGCTTTCTGCTGTTGATGTTCACGTTTAACTGATCCAGGTGGACCTGGCGTTTCCTTGCAACCACTGTCATGGGCTGATAGATTGAAGATCGCCAAAGGGATCGCCCGGGGTCTGACCCACATTCACGAGTGCAGCCCCAAACGGTATGTTCATGGCAACATAAAATCATCAAAAATTCTCCTTGATGATGACCTAATGCCTTACATCTCTGGGTTCGGATTAACCCGCCTTGCGCCCAACTCATCCAGACTCACAACTTCATCTTCCAAAAAGACTACCACCGCCAACACGAAACACGAAACCCGCTTTCCAGCCACCAAGTTAACGCAGAAATCCGATGTGTACTCTTTCGGGGTAGTGCTTTTGGAGATTTTAACGGGTCGGGTGCGTGATGGGGGAGCCGAGGGTGATGGCAAGGGAGTCGATGAGATGGTAAGGGTGGCTTTCAAAGAGGAAAAGCCTTTGTCAGAGATTATAGACCGTCACTTGTTGCCTGAGGTTCACTGCAAGAAGCAGGTCCTGGCAACATTTCACATTGCACTAAATTGCACGGAGATGGATCCCGAGCTTCGGCCTCGGATGAGAACAGTTGCTGATAGTCTGGATCGGGCCAGTTTGTCTTAAAGAAATTGTTCTGATCCTTTTGTGGATAAGTAAGGTCTTTGTGAAGCTTGTAGCTAGTTTGGTCATTACTCATTAATGAGGACGATTAGGAGCGTTGGTTGCATTAATGAAGACTTGATTAATGTAAGCAGAAAATCTAAACCGTGGGAATGTGGAATTTAATCAATGAAACAAGTTCCTCTAATTTTTGGTAAATCATTATGTTACTAAATTCCTCCATTTTATTCAATTAAGAAATGTTTATTGGTATCAATATATAAATTTTATCTTTGGTAGAAATATATTGGTACAATTACGGGGCATATGTTCAATATAAGAAATGTTTCACTTGTGAACTATCATGCACAAATTTTCTATCAAAGGTCGATGCTATATAACTTAATACGTGACTTAAATGTAATCTCTTGTGACTTCAAACACATATGATTACAACCTTGTCAGGAAAATATCATTTCAATACTCCCTCTCGCAAAATTTTTCTTATTTTCCTTTTTGGGCCTGTTTGAAGGTTGTAATCATATGTAACCCTTGAACTACGTACTCTTTATGATTACTACGTACTGTGTACTATTTTGGGGGTTTCGCATTGATAGAGGAACCCTTGAACGTGACTGAAGTATTTGATATTTTTATGACTTTGATCTTTTAACCAATTTCGATATTATGAAATGATATTACATTAATTAAATACAAACATTTCTATCGATATGAATACTTGCAATTTTCATTACCCTCTTACAATGTAGAAAATAATTTACGTTCAGTTTAACGTAACGCAAAAATAATTTAGGTTACCCCAAGTCCCAAATAGGGGTGGACTCGATCCTGGTTTGGTTCTGGATCGGTCGGTTCCAGTCATGGGTTGGAGAAGCCCGGGTCTGACACGGTTAAATCCAGGTCTAGACCGGTATAGGGTACCCAGTTGGTCTGGTACCGATCCAGACCCTGTCCCGTTCTATTTTTTTTTTTTTTTCATTTTTGCCCGTTTCCAATGCTAAAAAGCGCTGGTCCGGGATCGGAACCGCTCGATTCGGTCTCCTGATAGGTGAACCGGGACCGGGTACCCCTCTTGGGCGGACAAGACCAGTCCCAGGCTCAAAACTTGAAAATCGGATCTAGTCCAATCCCAAATCGTGCCGGTCTGCTGGATGACCGGATCAGGTTCGGACCTGATCTACCCAGGGGTGGAGCCGGGCCGGTTTGGGCCCGGGCCAAGACTAGGCCCGGTTGGGCCGGCGGTTCAAGAATGGGGGGCCCGGTACCGGACCGGGTAATCCCCGGGTTCGGGTCGGGCCGGGCCTCGGGTAATTACTATTTTTTTTTTGCCTTTTCCTAGTTAACCCCCAACCCCCCCCCCCACCCTCAAACAACCCCAAACCACCCCAAATGGCCCAAAATACCCAGCCCAACCCGAAAAGTTAAAAAAAAAAAATGAAAAAAAAATTAAAATAGGCCCGGTACCCGGCCCCAACCGGCCGGGCCGGTTCGCCAAAACCACGACCCGAGCCCGGACCCGCCCCCCCGGGCCTAGGCCCGACCCGGACCCGGACCCGGACCCGAGAACTGGGCCGGTCCCGGTCCCGCACAGTAGCGGGCCGGTCCGGTCCACGGGCCTGGTGGCCCGACCCGAATCCACCCCTAGTCCCAAATATAGAGATGTTTGAGCTCAGCATTTCAAATTTCAAAGGCACTACTATAGACACATATTTTTATTCCCATAAATAAGCATCAAGTGGTAAATAAGCAATTTTAGTTCTCAGATCGTTTTGGGGTGAGAAGTGAGAAACCGAGAACACTTAAAATTTTAGTTAATAATGGCTCTATTTGGATGACTACTTAGGCTAAAAATGAGCTCAAGTTTAATATGTTCTGACGAATAATTGACATGTCGTTTTGTTTAGGTGAAGAATTGAGTGGGGAGGGACCGAGGGAGGGAAGAAAAAAAATGGAGGGTGGGTTATATTCAGGGGCGTAGCCAGGACACTGGGCTAGACTGGGCCGGTACAAAGAATATTATTGGGAAAAAATTTACACGAAATTTTTTACACTAAAAATATTGACATTTTTCAATTTTGGGGTGGGCCAGGGCCTAGCCTGGGCACCCCTAGCTCCGCCCCTGGTTATATTGGGTGTACCCCTGTGTAACCCATGATGTACCTTTAGCAAGTTTCAATAGCTAATTAATATATTTTCATAACTCATTCTTATATTCCGTACTACATATTAATTTAAGAATTTATAAAATTGTGGTGGTAGGGTATGTCAGTAAAAGTGGGCGGCAACCGCTAAATATAGGAAGAAAAATTAAATATAAAGAAATAAAGTAATTTTTTCCCTTCCTCAGTATCTTTATCCCATTTTTTTATTCATCCTATTAATTAAAGTTTTCATATACTATACTTCGTATTTATTAAGTAGTAATATTTACCTCCCTAGGCATTAGGGTTTGTTGTGTGCGCCGACCTTCTTCTCTAGATCGTTGAGGGGAGGGTCAAGAAGTGCGCGAGTTTGCCTTCGTGCTCGGTTAGGTGTTTGGAGGTTGAGGCAGGGCTCTGCCTAGGATTCTCGTACAGCTTTTCTCGGAAAGGATGGAAGCAGCTTTCCCTTTGGTTTTGCTCATGCTACTGGGGCCGATCGGCTTCGGCCTTCATCAATTGGAAGGGAGAGGGAGGAAATTGCTAACAAATTCCGGAATATGGCTATCGGGGATCAAGGGAAAGAACTGTTCTTTGAGGAGGAGTCGCTTGAGGAGGAAGGAGACACGACCAAGAGAGCAGTGGTACCAAGGATACGGCCTCCTCCTAAACCACCACCATGGGTTGTGCGAGATGCTAGAATTCGTGAGAGTTTTCGAATAAGTTTTCATTTTTTTGTCATTTGGTTTCTTGTTATCGTCTGTGTTGTTAGGTCTGTCAGTTTGTTTTGGATTTTAGCCTTGTTTCATGTCATTGAGCGTGTTTGGATCTATAGAAATATGGATGGTTGTGCCAAGCCCGTTACATGGTTAGCGATTCGTGTTGCTCTTTCAGGGGTGACCGTTTCTAAAGCTCATCATAGGGTTTACAGTCGTAATTGCAGGAGTCTAGCTAGTTGGTGTCAGTTTTGTTATTCCCTGATTGATGTAATGATCCTGAAACTTTTGATATGAATAGAGGCTAGTCTTTGTTTAAAAAAAAAAAGTAGTAATATTTACATTTTTCTGATATATTACTTCCGTCGTCCCATTTTATAAGATACATTTTAATTTCATCTTTTAGTTTTTTGAAAAGTATTAGCATTATCTCTTATTCTATCTGATGGAGTATATGGCCCAGGAACCCCCGGCCCATAGACTCCTACTTCTCCTACACAGGCTCATTAAGTTCAGGGAACATCTGAGGCCCAAATACAACGGCCCAAGCCCCAAAGAAGCCCGAAATACATACCGGGGTGCCTTCGGCCTCCTTGGCCGAAGGCTCCAAAACTCACAGAATAGACTTTTCCGACATACGAGGTACTGGTAGAGAACGGCAGGAAAACAGGAGCCTTCGGCACTGTAAAGCCTTCGGCATTGTAAGCCCTCAGCATCAGGAAAGCCCTCGGCTACACATGGCCTTCGGCTATGTAGGGCTTTCGGCTACACAGGGCCTTCGGCTACACGAAGCCCTCGGCCACACGAAACCCTCGGCTGCGTGAAGAGCCTTCGGCTGAACAGACTCAATCATCGAAGATTCCCTTTGGAGACAGCCAGCCACCGCATTTAATGCGACGTCACATCCACCCACCGCATTCAATGCAGTGAACATGCCACTGCCAGTGCCACCCCGATTGATGTGACCCCTCGGCCGTTGGATTACTGACACGTGTACTCTCATCGCATTTATTGCTGCTATAAATAGCAGCCCATTTCTCCTTGTAAACTGTAACACCCCCAAATTTCCCACCCAAAATACCTTTAAATAATGATTTATTCAAAGGAATTTAAACTTTATTTGAAAACATCAGAATTGTGCAGCGGAAATTTAAATGGAAATAAGGGGCGTTACCGCCACACTCGGTTCTCACATAACCGAGTGCACAGGCTATCCACCACCAACAATTAAAATTTTCCATAATTAATTGTTCAACTACAATTCCTTAAAATTAAGACTAAAATAAATTACTCAATAAACTTTAGTCTATGTGTTCTAGCGGAAGCTCTCGAAAGCAACTTGAATATGATCCTCTATTCCTGCACAAATAAAGTAAAGGAGGAAAACACAAAGAAACAAAAATTAGCTTGAAATGCTAAGTAAGGGCCTACTCAACCCCGTAAAATAATCATGTTTGATACATATATAATTTTTCAAAATACATGTCAAAACCCTTTTCAAAATACTTTAGAATTCCTCAAATGCAAGTAAAATATTTGATCTCATAAATACACAAATAAATACACACACTAAACTGGGGTTCGTAAAAATTATTGCATCTCACATCATATCACACATATGCAAGTAAAATAATGTCTTGATATCACATAGTCCTCCAAAATACTTTGTCAAATCTGTATACTTCCCAACATATTAAATATGGAGTAATAATTTTAGAATAGCATTCATAACTCAAAATAATGTTTATAAACTTTGAATAGTAAGATTTCCTTAACAACCCTTATAAGGAATAATTCTCCTCGATAGTCTCAATGGTAATAAAAAGATTTAATTCCCCAAAATATTTAATCCTCCCATATGTATATCCAAAATTATTTAAGGTCTCAAAATAATTCCTCCAATAGATATTTCCATTCTCAATTCCAACCAAAGTAATATTTTATGTTTCTTTTAAGAGTGGGCGAAACTCAAGATTCCTCGAGCCCAATGAGCCGTTGTTGTCTACGACTCATCCCGGAATTCCGGCTCCCACCGACCACCAATTGGAAGCTGAATTTCTACCTTAAGTGTGCACACCCTCTAAAAGAGATTCCAAGCTCTCCGAGTAGTAAGAAATCCAAGTAGGCAGGATGTTTTCTACCACCTACTCACAAGGGACATTGTCCAAGGGTAAATTAGGTAACTACTACTACGACCACCAAAGGATCTTTGATCCTCACATAAAAGCCCGGGACGATGTCTACCGGAGCGTGTCATTGCCGGACTGGTTACCGGCCCAAATATATTTCACCAAAAGTAGTAGTAGCCCTAACCACCCACGCCTCGTGTTTCTCTCGAGACGTAAAAATATATTATGAAAACT